TGTAATATGTATAATGTATATTCATATAAATTTTTATCCATTTTTTTGCAATGTATTTTTATCTCATAATTTTTTCTCAGATTAATCAAACTCTGCTGGAAGTCCATGACATAATGATGCCTGATGACTGGCTAAATGAAACGGAAACAGTGCTCCTTTTGAGAACTATCTGCGATTATTCTTTTCAACAGTAAACAGTTTCTTTTTTTTTGCTACATAATTTTACAATATACTTCTTCATTGATGCAACGATCATAATATTTATAGCTATGGTTTGCGTGAAATTGATGGCAAAAAATTTATCTCCGACCCGTTACCGGGTGATAAGCTCATTTCATCCGCCAATGGATTGTGGGAGAAAAAGTAAGATTTTTATAGAAAAGCTTACATTATAGCTTTTTTAAAATATAACGAAAGAATTAATTAAATTTTTGTAAAATGTGAAAGGGCGGTTTTATTCATAGCGCACAAGTCGTTTATTACTATTAATCTCGATTTACGGTAATTAATTATGAGAATCTCTTTTAATTTATCATAAAAATAGATGAGTGATTAGCTTATAAAAATTAATTATTTTGATTAGTTTGAGAAATATGTGTCACAACTTTCTCGATGAAATACAAGAACTGCAATTATACAGAAATTGGAAGGAGTGGTGTGAGGACGACGAATACATTCCTAATCTCGAAGATATTCTCTGCAGGTACAATATCAGCATACATTTAATATGAAATTTATCTTTCATCTTTTATCTTATCATCTCACGTGATAATTTTCACAGTAAGATCTTGTTTCATAAGATCGATTAACTAATGCTGATCTAATGATTTATGTAGTATAAATGAATAATTTATAAATTATAATTTACGGTCTGAAGGAGAAATAAAATCTTTGTATTTGTGCCGTAGAAACGAGATTAGCAGTTTACGAGATTGCAGAGGTATAAGCAACATATATAAGCGACAAGTACCTACGATTTTCGGTGCTCGTATGAAATTTCTAGCCGAATATGTATAATAATTTTGAATGACTATTTATATCATCTATTTTTAATTAAAATTTGAACAAAAGTTATTAAAGATGGCTTGATAACATAAAACATAAATAAGAAGGAGCATACAGTCACATACGCAAAGTATTTTTCGCACAAATCATATATTTAAAATTAATTACAGGTAGACGTTTCACTCTGTGATCATTTCTAATATGCTATTTTAGTATTTAACATTTGCATTCTATTGTATTGTACTGATGATTGTCACAACTTGACCGAAACACTTACGTGTAATTAATTTTAATATGACTTGTACAAAAAACACATTTGCGTGTGTAGTATATGCTCCTTCTTATTTATGTTTTATTTTTAATTATATAAAAAATATTATCTATCAAATAATATTATACAGACTTAATATGCTGCTATTCGATAATAATTTTATGATTTGAAATAAAAGCAAATATTTAACTAAATCTGCAAGAATGCACAATATGATGTATATTGTGAAATGTAGAATTGTATTGTCTAAAAATGACACCTTGACAGAAAAAACAGAAAACAGAAAAGCAAACTCTAATCAGAACTCGCGCTGACTCGCAGAAAAAAAAGAAATTGTTGATTACTGCCAAAAAGCAGAAATTGTTGATTACGAGCGTGAATTCTGATTCTGAATCTGCTTCTCTGCTTTCTGTTTTTCTGTGAATTCTCCCTAATACATTGTCGTAGTTGTCCAAAATATTTTTACAATTAAATAGCAAGACTAACATCACACTGAAAAAATGTTTGGGTCAACAAAACGGGTTTTAATTGTTAAACGGAAAGACTCGAATGTTTTCCATGTTCGATGGGATTTTTTTGGTTGATTTTATCTTCCTCTTGGGCAAGCTTGAGAAAGAAGACCAGGACGCTCTTTTAGGACCTGCTGATTTCTGCCGTACTTTCAAAAGCTCCAAACCTCTCGGTTCTTCTAAAGAAACGTCACGTTCTTGAAAACCGACAAACGACTGCACTTGATGAGCATGATCTTGTAACATGATCATATAAGGGAGATTATAACCGCGTAACTTGCCAGTTGGAGCAGCAACGAGATGAGGATGATCGTTGGAGCGATTGTGACCACCATCGTGATGATGATGAAAGTGGAGGTGTGATATCAGATTGTGCTTACGTATACCGCGCACAACAGTTTCTTGCATTTGCCTCCGCTTATTCCATATTCTTTCGAAGATGCCAATAGAAATCGCAATAACCATACCTGCTACCAATAGAAAGAAAGCGGAATAGACGTCGGCGAGCCTCGCGCTATGAAAGTCCGCCGACGCTGCGCATCGCGGCATCGTCGGCAGCATTCGTTCCTGTATCTTATCCAGAACGCCACGTTCGTAGATTCGCAATATACTGCAAATAAAATAATGTAAATTATAAACGAGATGCCAATTTATTAACTGACGCGCGTTAAAAAATTATTTTCTCTAAACATATTTTTCTTAATACATATTTTTTTATAATACATTAATAATACATTCTATAATATGTTAATATATTAATGTATTATAGAATGTATGTATTATAGTTATCAATCGTAACGAGTCTAATTAATGATATCTCTCTGATTAATGACATCGCATGTATGAACCTGTTCAGAAAGTATAATATGTGATATCATTAGTCGTTTTCAGAGCAGTGTAACTTGCTGCGGTAAAACATGTTATAGGTATACTATGATTTCGACAATTGGCTCTACTGACTAATTAGCTTAAAAATATTAGAAAGCTGTTCATTGTTGCTGTTTACTTTTAAATGCCCAGTTTCTACCAAGGTAATTTAATTTTATTTGATTAACTCTTGATGTTTTTCGAATGTTTATTTCTAATAAATGTAAATTAATTTTAATCTCGGTTCTATTTACTCTTTATCTTTTTCTAGTTCTATAAGAATTAGAAAAAGATGAAGAATAAGTTATACCGAGAGAGAAATTAAAGTTGATCTACATTGATAGAAACGGACATTAGTTATTTTAATTATTCACATTTTAATTATTTACATTGATATACATAATAGAATTCTATCATGTTAATTATAATAATTATAATATTTTAATGCTTATTCTATACTAATATTAATTTTATCATGCTAATGTGTTATGTAAATTCGACAACTTTGCATACTTGAGATTAATGATTTTCCTATATGGGCAACTTTTAGCCATAGGAAGAGCGACGACTGTAAGTGTTTGTGGAAGCATCAACTCTTTCAAGATGCATCGTTCCTGTATGAAGGTTGTTTTGAGAGCTCGCCGAGCAAGAGTCGCGCTAACGAAGAATCCATACCTTTCTTTGACAGCTTTCATAAGGCCAGTCCTCGTCTCGAGACGAGATTCGCGATTGTTAAACGCTTTTATGTACAACTGACGAAGATTGCTATCGTTCGCATTCTGAAAGATAATGCGATATTAAATAACTCCGACAAACAGCAATTAAATAACTACGTATAACTATCTGAAATAATTATAAAACTCTCCTAGCGGTACAGTATTGTAAGAAAGATGATTGAAAGAAAAGTTTTTCAAAACATCGTATTCTACAATAAAAACACAATTAATAAAAATGTTATAACATAGTAAAATAAAAAAACCTTGTGTATATGCTACCACTACAAGTGGCATCAAAAGATTAATTTTGTATATCATTAAAACATATTCGTTGTTATTGTTAGATTCTTTAATATCGGGTGTGTTAATTTAAAAAGTTGTTATTATATATTTATTTTTATAGTACCTTTTACATAATATCTACGTAGATACGTAACAAAATAATATCAAAGAGGATTCATATGACAAAACGCAATAAGAAAAATAATAGTAATAAATGATAATAATGGCAATAAATAAATAATTGATAGTACTCTTATGTATGTATCGTCGGCGGCACTGTATCCTAGCTTGAAATTATTAAAAAGAAGATCGGTGATCGATTTGATTCCAGTTGCCTGCACCGATAGTATGGATGTGATGAAACCAGCATAAGCATTGTACATCACGAGGGAGAATATTAAACTGGATAACAATAGAGTCTTTCCTGATGGACTTCGAGGTGTCCAGGGTGATCCTATAAATTCCAAATGTTTGAATGTATGAGTAATGGATTTCATATACATAGATTTTATATACATTACGCACATAATTAATTAAGTTTAGACGAGATTAGACTTGATAACCGAGGCATAAAAAAATGCGTTCCTCAGTAACAAAAAAATATTTCTTTTACGGTATGTAAAATATAATAAAAAATAATTTAATAATTAATTTAATAAATAATTAATTTAATAGAAAATACATTACAAACATACAAATTACCGTATCATACTTTTATGATATAGCATTAAAATTTAGCATATAGTTCACGTTATATATATTATAAAATTTCAGCATAAAAGCATGTAGAATTTTAGCATGTTTATCGATAAAAACATGGACCTATATGCACATGTGTGTTACACAAAACAAATGAAACGTAGTTATTAAAATTAGAGGGTATATTCTCGGAAAAAATTTATATAAATGGACATATTTTATATATAATTATATATAATTGTATATAATTATATATGAGACATTTTTTTTCGGGTTGTATTTTATACATATACATATTTAATATTTACATAACATGAGAGTTCAATAGTGAGTGATTATAGCTGTCGGTAATAATAAATGAATGAAAATGTAGAAATATTGCAATTTTTGCCCACTGCATTTTAGACCATTAATTACGTGTTTGTCCACGTTTTGTTCACATTCTCGATTCTGTAATTACGTTGTAATTATTATGTATTATTTAAATTAGTATTGTATATAAAAGAGAGGTGATAACAATGTGAAATGATAATTTATTTGTTATAATAGCCTAGCTATAAAAAAAGAAATAAACCTTGCATGCACATGATACTCAAGCACCAAAGTGCAGATTCCCCGATCTCGACGTGTTTTTCATCTTCATCATGTAACATTGTTTTAGCAGCATAAATAACTGTCGCCATCGCGATAAACATGATGAGATATGTTCCAGCGACGCAGCCAAGTAATCGATTATCGAACGGTTGCAAAAATATATCCCTCATCGTGCCGGTCTCCAACGGATGATAATAAATATTTCTCCTGCGTAAAATATTATTTTATATTATCATGTAGAAGAAAAAATAGTTATATTTATAAAATTTTAAATAATTAAAAGAATTTTTTATGTTCTTTCTCAAACATTTCAATTTTTTGTACTACGTTCTTCACTTCACGTTATTTAAACAAAAACAGATATCGAATTTGAAAAACTGATCTTGAATGTTCAAAATATTACTTTGAATTTTATTACTACAAAATATTTTTAATTTAAATAACGTAAAATGCAAACGTAAATTTTTAATATTTACATTTACAAAGCAAATTTTATATTTTATTATTTTATATTTTATATTATTTTATATTTTATCTCATAATGTATATTAATACTGATCTAATGATATGATTTATGCGGAACGTATAATTTGCACAAATTAGTATTTCCTCATCAAAATAACAGAAGATTATATTAGCATGAAGAAACAAATATGAAATATAAAGTTATAAAGTAAATTAAGTTATAAAGTAGATAAAGTAGTGTTTAGTTTAATTATAAATAGAATGTTTAGTTTAAAGTAATAAAATAATAAAGTTTACATTGCTCGTTTGCTCATTAATATTCACTTCTTTGAATTTAAATTTATTAAAATATTTTTATACCGACATGTAACGTATTAAAGGATGACTAAATGTCATTTCTGTCCAACGCTCTTCGTCATTCGCCGTTATATATCCTAAACCGATGTCGACAGTGCCAGTTACAACATCACCGAGAAGATGGCTCCATTCTTTATTAGCTAACATACCTAACTTTTCGTGCGGCACCAGCTCGATGCTATAAAAATTCAAAATAAGTTATATTTATTTCTAGCTTTTTTTTGTAATATATTTTTCAGATTCATTTTATTTTTATTTTTTCTAAAGATTTATTTTATTCTTTGTGGAAACATTTTTTGTAGAATTTCTATTATTTTATATGTAACATGCGTATATTCTGAGAAATCTAATTTTCGAAGTAACTTTTTCAAGGATTAAGGAACATGTTTTACAATATACATGAATTGCTAATTGGCGTTGCCAAGACCGTAATTGAATATTTATCATTTTACAAGATAAGTTGCTGCATTAATGACTATTTTTATATTAATTTATGTATGTGACTTTAATATCGTATTAAATGCATCCAATTAAATTTGGTACAGAGAATGATTTTTAACCTGGCATTCACGCTATGGGTGACGATGGTAGCAAAGTCCAAAAGGGGTGCGATATCGTTGGCAGTGGCCTCTGATTCGATAACGTCTGTCTGCCCATCGCTGGTTCCGTTCAATACTCCAAAGACAATGGGAAGACCGTTGAAATCGCTTCTGAGCTTCACGCTCATCGGCAATTTGAGAGTGTGAGATTCTGGATTCCAGAAACCGAGATAGCGGACAATTAGACTCGTATTGTCGGAGTGACGTATTTTGTAAGTGTGCATCAAGTAGAACGATACTGTGCGATTCTCTTCAGTGGTATAGCTCAAATTGGTCGTGGCGTTTTCGACATTACGTCGTTCCGGCGGCGGTCCCATGAATTCAAAACGATCACCATATCGCTGAAAGGACTGACAAATTCTGTGGAAAAAGACTCCACTTGAGAGTCTTGAAAAAGACTTCCTATTTCTGTATCTAATTTAGATTATTACTATCTTCATCACGGTTGCCATCCTTCGACTAGTGTTCTGCTAGAAACTGATACCTTTTCAACCAAAGATTTACAATTACTATTATTTTGCCAAAAATTGACAACTATTATTAAAATTGTTGAAATCAAACTTTCTTGTAATGCTTTTTTTAAGATTTTTACGAGCTTTCTACAATAAGCCATTATTTAAATTTTAATTCATAAATCATAAAAATCAATCAATCATAGTGAGAAGAATAATCAACTATTATATATATAAGAGATTGGTTAATCTCTTACAGATCACGACTTAAAGCTTAAATAATGATTTATTGTAGAAAGCCTACAAAAAAGATATGACCTCCCGAGATCGATTATTATGATTATATGTTGTAGTGCGTTATATTGTAGTGCGTTCTCTAAAAAGCAGTCACCAAACTTGTTCTTTCTGCCTTGTGCTTTCAATGATATTATTCTAAAAATAGGAAGAAATTGACGAGTGTTTAATAAAAGGTCATCAAAATTTTGTAAGATTTAGAAGAGCTGAAAATTTGGTCAAAAAGCTGAAGTCTCTCATCGAAAACCCAAAAAGATGGCAATCACAATCTTGATAGAAATTAAGCAATGCCCAATTTTATAAAAATATTCCATTTCTTCATTTTAATTTTTATTTTTTTATCTTTATTTTTTCTATTTTATATCTCTATTTCTATTCGAGGAATGAAAATAAGAGACTTTATATTTGTCACGTTCATTAGTAGGATGATGTATTCAAATTAATGGAATTTTATATAATATATGTAAAGATAAATGGTTCTTTTAAGTCATGTACAATATAAAAAACAAACATTTTATTTTATTAATCTTTATTAAACGTTTTATTTTATCAATTCTTTGAATAAATTACTTCTATCCTTTAAAGTATGTACGATTATGATAATAACGTTTTTATACCATTCTCGAGATGTGTAGCCTTACTTATCTCGATATTTTTGAGCATATATCCAAGCAGCAGCATCATTCTGTAGTGGCGAGGTAGCTACGATCACGTCACTGTCGATACCGACATTTAGATCTCGAAGGACGGTGTCGATGGTAAAATCATGTCTTCTTGTGGTCACCATAAGCCAGGAAATGTAATAGTTGAACAAGAATTTCTGGGAGGCCTGAAATATTCATTTTAATCAGAAATTCTGTTTGCTTCCATCAAATTTGCATAAACAATTTTGTTAAATTTTGTATTTTGTTAATGAATCAAAATTATTTTTTCCGTGTATGTAAGCTTTAAAATATATACTTTTAAGATTTATTTAATTTAATTGAAAAATAAGTCATGATTATTTAATTTAATTGAAAAATAAGTGCGAGTATGCCGAAAGTAGTGTGCGGAAGAAATCACATTTTTTAAAATTTGCAATTAATTTTTGACAAAAAAATTGTGTATTACTATTATACATATAATTAAAAGAAAGAAAATAAAAAAATAGGCGATTATTGATTATTATTTGTAAAGTGATTATTGTAATAAAAAAGAAAAATTTGTTGAAATATATTGATTAATTTTCTTTTATGATAAAAGTAGAAATATCATTTATGATTATCAAATTGTTATCTTCATACAATATTACTGAAGTCTATTATGCTATCGCTGAAGTCTGTTACGAATTAGGAAAATAAGAATTCCCGCGAGACACTTCTTTGATAACATAACATGATATTTTCTTGCAATATTTAGAAAATTAAAGGAACATTATACAAGATAGTCCATTTAATTTGAAGACCTTGAATAGTTTATTTTTGATATAAAAATGTTTCAGATAAAAATGGAATGACTTGGGGAACATAGTTTAGTTACGTTGTTTTTTTTTTTTAAATGGAGGCGTCATCCTTAGATATGAACTCACCCCCACTTTTTTAGATGAAATTATATGATTTTATTTACATAATATAATTTCTCTAATTATTCTACATGTAAAAATATTAAAGTAGAAATATGAAAAAATTGAAATAGATTTTGAATTATTTTATATTTTGTTCTGATATACATTTATATTGACATATTAAATTTCATAACTATAAATTGTTTAATAATCGTAATTGTTTAGTAATCTTAATACTTTTATGCATCAAATAATAAATTGAATCAATTAGTATAAAAAAAAAACACAAATTACTTACTTAAAAAATTATGCATCTCATAATTAATGCAATTACATAATTTTTATAATAAGCAATTATGCATTTTCTTTACAAATTGATTCAGTTTATTATTTTGTGAATATCTCTTCTTGTTGGCTTTATTTCTTATATTGCTTCTTATTAGCCTTTTTTATCTCTACATATTAATTTAATTTAAATTTGTAATTTTATTTTTTTTCTTTTCTCAGAAATTGACAGACATTAAAATCATACCACTTGGATAATATTATCAGGTGATGTTAGATTGAGTCCATCCAAGAGGACGATCGAGCCGACGCGATGTGTTCTGATCGTAAGAGCATCCGGTACGTTCGGGTTCGTTGCTGATTGTAGAGACACACTGATGCCCTTTTCACCGAAGCACTTGATCAACGGCCGAGCATAATTAAGAGCACAACCTGCATTTTTAGTAAATGTACATCTAGTAAATGTACTGTAAATGTACATTTACTCGATGTACACTCGATGTTCGATTAAAGTTTATAATTCCAGTGCATTTCTTATAAACTATTTTTTAATAACGGAATTTTGTCAATGTATCTTTTGTTTAGATTTTCTTTAAAAATAGTTCTTTTATGAATTAATTTTTTGAGTTAAAACTTTTTTTATTGTGTATATTAAACAAAATTATAAAATATATTAATTTACGAGATAAAAGAAGCTATTATAAATTCGCTTTAATTAACTAGAAATAAATTCGATAGTAATCCGCATAGCATTTTAAATTTTAGATAAGTAGCAGATACATGAAATTTAAAATGTTATATAACAGATACATAGCAATACGTATCAATCATATATTAGATACATGTTTAATACCGATGAATGTCTGGTCTGTATGTATGTTCCAGATAAGCTGTTATTTTGACATCGATAGTTATTTTATAGTTATTTTAAATGACGTCATATGACTATTTATATATCTATTTAAGATGTAATAATGACGTCATCTTTTTGATCAATTAATGACGACATTTGTTTATGACATCTTTACAATGTCATACTTAATGACGTCGAATAAATGGCCAATTGTCGACGTATAGTTAACATTATTAGTGATCAATTAATAACGTATCGATTATACATTTATTCCATTAATAATACGAAAATAATAATGTATTTTTAATGTCAATTTATGAAGTGTGTGAATGATAAGAAATATAAGAATTTAAGTCATTTTTACGATGTTTACACATACCATCAAGAAGCTTATTATGATTTTTAAAATGTACTGGAAATTATAAAAGTAATTGAATTTACTTTAATTTAGAATATTTAGAACTTCAACACCTAGAAAATTTGATCATTTTTATAATTTTTACTTTATCTCAGAAATATATCATATACCTAGATTAGAATAACTAATTAAATGGATGACACCTTCAATAACTACCATCAATAACATGAAAAAATAACATATTTTTGACGTTGACTTATAACGTTATATATCTGTGATAAATCCACGTCATTTTTATGATGTTTGGACGTCACATTCGTTATAAGAATGACTAATTAATGACGTTAAATAGACGACACTTTGCTATTGTCATATTTAGGGTAATATTTTATTAACAATATTTAGGATAATTTACATTACATACCAAATACATATGACATTATATATTCGATACGTATCTATTAAATATATAAGTTATATATCTGATACGTATCTTTAATAATGCAAATTCGCATTCAAAATGTATGTTTTATAACCTATAAAAAAAATCAGATATGCATTAATTACAGCAATTACATTCAACTATATAAAAATTAAAATATATTATAAAATAAAAACTTATCTTTGACTTACTATTTAATTTAATTTAAATTATTTTTATTTAACTTAAATTTGTTTTACAAATTGTTTCGATCAGCATTTCCAAGCTTGACCGAAATAAGCCTTTATTTCTTGACTGTATTTACATCATAGTCTAATATGATACTTTAATATTATTAAATTTGTTTGTTCTTATAGATTCAAATAATAATTGCTCATATAGAAATTTGCGCACATAGAAACGCACATCAAAATTGCGTTTATAATTTTTTAAAATGTTATATGATGCTACTATGATACGCTATTTTTCATAACATATTATTACATTTTGATAAATATGTATCAACTACGTGTTATATAATATACAGGATGTCCCACAATGAATATATAAGGTGTTCCATAATTCGTGATCGAAATTTTTCGGTTACCTTGCATATTTGCATGCATTTAAATATTCACAATATATCTGCTATATATTACACATGTATTTCGACATATGAATATTTTACATCCATTGCTTTAATTATGTATTTAACACATTATATTTTATATGAAATGAAATGCTCAAACAACATAGATATATATTTAATATATATATTATTTGCAATGAAAGATGTGAGAAATTTGCAAGGAATTGTTCTTCTTCCTTTCAATTTAGTTAATTTGAAAACTTACTAAACGGGCTGATATTATCGAAGATCACAACTTGATCCCAAGATCGCCATTCTGCATATTCCAGTAACAATTGCAGCGTCAACGGCGATGTGAAAATGCAAGGTTCAGCGACTACATGAATCGCCATTAACATCACTAGCAACAACTTTGCTTCTCCAAAATCAATTTTGATTTTGCGCGTAATTGGTAACATTACATAAATCTAAAAATGTTGATAGAGATATTATTTTATGAAATCGAGAAATTGAAAGATCGTTCTTTGTCGTATTGGTTTTGATAACTATAAAAATGATGATTCACGATTCATTGTTATTGGACTTCAATGTTACAATATATCGAGAGATGATTTTGAAAGAGTTGTATTGTTAGTTAATTTACTACTGATAACAAGCGATTTCACAAGAATGTAGCATTGCATGCAGCTATCGTGAAATGTCAGCTTTTGTTAAAGCTTGTCAAATCTTTAATTCATCGTTCGATTGCCACGTCAATGTATGAACGTCGATAACATAATGAATCTTTGATGGCAAGAGAGGAACAAGGAATTTTGACGTTAATAGCTAGGTATATCGATAAAAAAAAAAATAGATAAAGAGAATTTCAGAGTTTCTATAAAAAATTCGATTCCAAACAAAAAATCTTTAGACAAATTTTAATTGTCAACTATAATAATTTTATATTCTAATTTTGACTTCAAGATAATATTCTATTTTATTCTATTTTATTCTATTTTATTGTTATAACTTTTCTATTTATGTTTAGTCATATATGTATGTTTTGATATAGTTTTTATTGCTTTCTGTGCGATGCTTCTGCAATTTAATTCTTAATTTTTTATCTATTAATTTTTTATTAATTTTTACTTAATTATTTATTATTTATTAATTTAATTATTTATTAATTTGATTCTTTTGACTTCAGTGCTTGCACTGTAATTTAAATTTATCTATTCAATCTTAATATCGTTGATTTTATGTGGTTAAAATTGTTCTGTTATTGGGTTGTCCAGAAAGTTCGTGCCGACTAAAATTTAAATTTTAGTATACATTTATTAAATTAAAATTTTCTGCGTTTCAATTTTCCTTCAACATCGGTACGAACTTTCCGGACAACCCAATACTTTTTGACAATTATTCGACACAAATTATTATTTATTACTTTAACTCACTTTGTTTTTTACTCGTTTTTCAAAATCAAATTTCATTTATCTTGACTTTTAATCTTATTTTATCTTATACTCGAGCTTGACTCTTTTTATAATAATCTTCAATATTGCGTCATAATTTTTTGCGAAAATTATATTTTAAACAGTTGTCTTGGTGCTTGATTTTTTAGCTTTTAAATAAACCTGTGCATATTAATTGATATATTATGCATAATAAACAAAAATATGAATAAATGAATGTAATAATCATTCAATTTTATTATAATTATTTTTCGATTTGATTATAATGTTATACTGAAGATGGTCTAATTAAGACCGAAACGTTTATATATATATATATATATTTTTTTTTTTCGATTTGGATAAATTGTTATTTCGCTTTCAAGATTTTACGTAGTGGTATATGCCTTTTATAATTGTATAATATTCAGAGCATTGTAACTCAGTAAAAAATCATCGCTGATAAAAAAAATAAAAAAGCATTTTAAAGCTTGAAATTACTTTAGCATGCTTTTGACCGCTTTTCAAAAAAATTTTTTCTTTACAGTTCTGCATCTTAATAAATATTGTTGTATTTTTTAAAATTATGTACATTTAACAAAGCGTAATTTTAAGAAGTACAACAATCTGATATTTATCAAGATAGGTCGAAATATCTGTTATGTAATTTTAAAAATTATTAAATGATAGCAACTAATAATGTTATTGCTCTTAGCCTCTTGTCTATTATATATTTGAATTTATCTAATTGAGCGTTTTTATTACAAATCTATTAATGTAATTTTATTGTTTTATATAAATTTAAATAAATATAATTTTTATTAATATTTTTTTATTTTTCGGAAATTCAAGATTTGTCTATATATAAATGTGTATAATAGTGAAAATATGAATTAATCTATCAATCAGCTTACCAATCGACTGTGACATTTATTCAACTTGAAGATCTAGAATCGTGTTCAAATTCTTGTCGTGTGCGTTAAAGAATATTATTTTTAAAATGTTGAAGATGCTCAAAATTGAAATAAAACGTTATTAATTTTATTGTGTCAATTATTTTATTACTTATTATGAGAATCGCGACTTAGTGCTTGTTTCTAATTACTGTTTTTTAAATTTGAGAGTCCTATTAATTCTTTAATAAATTATTCCATAAAAAAAATTAATATTAATTTTTCTTTTTAACTATATTTTTTTGTAAATAACTTTATTTTTTGTAAATAATTTTTTATAGTGATCTCTAATACACGATTCATGCAGTGTACTATTAACCGAATACATACTGAGCATTTCTTTTGGAAAGCCATATCAATCCATAATTTTCGAAGATAAATAGAAATAGATAAGCCTTCATACTTGAATAACTTTAAATTTCAATCAGCCGCCCATTTGCGCACGCCATTAACAGTGGTCTCATAGAAAAAGAAGAATAGCTAAAATAGGAATATTAAAATTTATACAATTTATACATAACTCATTAACAAGAAAGTAGAATACTTTATCTTTATTGTACACAGTTTTTTAATAGATCAAGTCTCATCATGTCAAATTTAAATATTAAACATTAAATCTTGATCTATTAAATAGATATATTACATAGAATAAAAAAAAATTAAAAAATTTTATAAACATTTTCTTTTTCTTGTTAATAAAAAAAATTTCAATTTTGTAACAATAATTGTAATAATTTATTGATAATTATAACCAATATTTATAGTCCGTTCGTATTTCAAGATCGTCTTAAGTAATATCTTGAGATGTTAATATAGAAGTCCTCTCT